CAGCGTGTTACTGCCCCCAGTCCTTGGCTGTTCTTACCAACAGTCCTTAGTTGGCTCCACGGCTATCCTGCTACTGGTGTTTGAGACAAACACATTAGCCCCCTATCTGCTAGACTTCTGCAAGGGGACTACAGGTGTGACTGCGCCAAATGCAGAAGCTTCCTAAAGCTGCCGCCATGCTGGATGTAACTAATTCTAGCTGACTCCAAGATAGACCCAATACTGGCCAAAGTGGAGTCAGTCAGCAGTCTTGGTAGACCCTCTGTGATAACATATATAAGGAACCATAAAAATCAGCTGCACCGCAGCCAGGGGAGAAAGGTGACAATATGCGTGAGATAACCCTGCAGTCACCAAGGTCAGTCAAAGATGGGGAAAAGGTGCTCCAGGCACCAGAGCAGAGATTTCCCTGCAGACAATGGAGAACCCCATGCTGGAGCAGAGAATCCTCAATTTCAAGAGGGAGGAATTTATTTATAACTTTTTTTCCATTGAATATTGTGAACAAGTGCCCTAACACCTCTTGGTCAATTTGGCCTTTTTTATCAATTCTAAAACTCTAAAATGCTCATAGTCATTCATGGACTCAAATGGGATGGGCTTTATCAACTAATATGTACCTATCTAGTTATATAGATAAAAGGCAGAAAAATGTGTTTCTGATCTATAGAGTTTCACAGCAAAACATCTTTCAGTTATAAATTCTTCCCTCTCTCTCTTCTTGATCATACTGCTTAAGCACCACTTTTATACCAGACTTATATACACTCCAAACTTAAATCACAAAACACTTCAATTTTCTCTTCAATTTGAGACTTTGCAAAATAATTAACTACCACTGAACCCCTAAAGGAAAACCTGTTTGCGTAATTATTGCTCTCTTCACAATATAGGCAGGTCAGTGACATTTTCCTTTGTTCCATTTGGTGTAGTTATTATGGAATTTGCTTTCTATAACCGTCATAGTTAATGAATAACGAGTGAAGACTATACTTCACTGAAATGCACATATCTCTGTTGTTTAAACTACCCATTTTTGAGTTTTCTGCTGATAATACAGCATCTCTGATCCTCAAATCAGAGATTGAAAGAGGAGGTGTGAAATAAATGCTAAAAATGATTTATGGAGAAAAAAAAGAAAAATACTATAATTTATCATAATTAACATACTTATTTAAGTTAGGGTGGGTTTTTTAACATTTTTTGGGGGGCTGGTAGATTAAGTCTTCACAGGCAGAATACAGCCTTTTCTCCCTTATGCCTTTCCAGCTTTTGGGATTTTAATAATTCCCAAGGAAAACTTCTGATTTTAGAGTGGTGTTTTTCCCTTCCTATTCCTTCAAGAAGTTAAAAAAACCTCAACAACTCTATGAAGATCCTAATTTTTCTTGTTGGTATGAACAATGAATCTCAAGTGAATTTGTGTCAAGGCTCTAATGGTTTAGGGAACAAGGGAGTTTTAGTTTGGTTTTGTTTTTTCCCCCTCCTTTGAGTTCTTTATTATATGCGCCTCATAAAAATTTAGAGTTGTTAATGGTGGAGACAAATAAGCCACCACAGTGTTGTGTATTTGCAGAACAATTGTACATTGTTGGATTTGGTGCTTTCAGGTGGACATTGTGGTATATCAGGAAGTAAAGATTTTTCTGCCTGCTAAACTTGCTTGTTTTGTGGGAAGGAAAAAAATGCTATACTTTGTGTTCCCTTCTGTATTTACCCAGACTGTCCATGGAGAAGTTGATATTTGGAGCAGTGTAAGTAAAGCACATGTTCTGTGTGAAATGACATTTTCTGTCTTCTGTACTTCTACCAGTAGATTCTCTTCTGTAGTTTGTGATTCCTTGCATCATTACTGTTTTTCTGCTTGAGCAGCTGATCATAAGATATGTAGACAGAGACAGATAGGGAGGGGATATTTGTCTGACTATTGGTTTATGAAATATGTATTGCAGAAGAGAGGTGGTATGGAATACTTCCTGTGACTATCCTGACACACTGATTTCATAGTGTTGTCAGCCATCTGCTGTATAACATAAATCTTCATGTATGTGGAGAAACAAACATAAATTTGAAATAAATCAATTACATAGTTTCCTGCATTTACTGAAATACAGCTTTCTTGGTCATTCTGGGTTTTGAAATATGCTCAGGTTGGTCAAATCCGTGCTTTGGGGGGACTGTTGTTTATTTGATACTTAAATATGAGGTTTGGCTATTTTAGTTTAAGATGTAAGTTGTGACTTAAGGTACTTTAACTGATTGGAGATGACCCAGCACTGTGATATTGTACAGGAATTTATTTACAAATCCATGTTTACATTGCTGTGGATACATGTGATCTTTAAAAAAATCCTTAGTCCCGAGCCCTTCCAAAAGCTCAAGATTTCTCTCAGAAAATAAAGATTTAAGTTAGAAAAAGTAGGTATGTGTGTTTTGCATTGTTAGGCCTTATGAGTTTTGTTGGTTCAGAAACTTTTGAGACATGGGCAAATAAGATTACATGGGAAGAGAACAGCCACTGAAGAAGAGAGGGCAAACAGTGTAATGTATGCTGATTTTGAGGGATTTGAATGAAAAATAGTATTTTGTTATTTATACGAAGCATGTAGTATACTTCTTAATATTCTGTTTCCAGTGTGTGTTCTCAAAGGAAGCAGCAGTGTTATAGGTAGTGTGTCTCCAGGCCTCCTGATGGAAAGCCAGAGTAGACCACTGGTGATGATCAGTATGGCCAAGGCTGAGAGATGTTTTGAGAGCACACGCAGGATCACTCTCGAGGAGAAAAGACAACGCAGGAAGAATCGCATCTCGTCGATATCACCTGGGGAGTCTTTCTGCTGTGCTTTCTGCAACTGGACTTTTCTATCTTGCATTGGCCTTTTTAGCCATCAGCGTGCTTGTAGCAAGCGTGGATAGAGCCCTTCTCAAATCTTCATTTATGAAACCTAGCCATGATTCTTTTTCCAAAACTCAGAAGTTGAAATGACTGGACAAAGTCAACTTGTAGATGGCTGCAGCTGGTGCGATACAGGTGTGCCTTCCTCTGCCAGACTCTGGTGATCAGTTCATCTCTGCTTTCAGTACTAGTTTCCAATTCAACTTGTGTCTTCATGTATGGCGTCAGAGGCTTGGAGAAGGCATGGGTGGCTGGACTAAGTTGAGCACACAAGCTTCCAAAGCATCATTGGCATCTGTCTGTGGGTTGGCTGGAGGATGTCATGCTTGAGCCTCTGGAAGAAGCAGGAGGAGGTTATGCTGTCTCTTTTGCTGACTTTTCCATTCTGTGGAAATCCCCACTATGGTATTTGCAGTCTCCAAACTCTTTGTGTAGCAATATGGTTATATATTTTTCTTTTTAGATCACTTTTTATTTAAATAACATGGTAGAAATTTTATGGGAAGTGTTGTCTTCTCATGATAATCAACACTTTAGCTAAATCCTGGCAACATTGAAGCACTGTTTAAAAAAAAAAAGTTTTGATATCCCACTATTCTAATGAACAGGTTTCTTCCATCTTTTTGATGGATGGATGTAGAATCTGACTGTTCACAGCCCAAGTGATAAGTTCTAGTTAATGAAAACACTAAAGTATTGCAGTGCCTTGATCTGTTGTCCTGTGAATTAAACATACTGTGAAGTACTTGGCAAGCTAAGCGTCACATAGAGAAAAATCCAAGAGAATTACTTTTTTTATGTTTTTGTGAGAAAAGGGGGCTTGCAGCCTGTGAATTTACATAGTGCAGTGGTCATGGTACTTTATTTTCTCACAGTATTACTAATATACCATCTGAATGTTACAGTCTGCTAAATGTATCGGAAAGAATTTTTTGATGCTTGGAGAAAAAAGTTTCCTGTCACCAGTCCAGAAATTGAAATAAAATTTCTGCAATTCTAAAACAAACAAACAAAAAAAGGAGATAAAAAAGCATATTTTCATTTGGAGTGTTGGCAGTTGATTGAGAAAATAAATACTTGGTGCCATTTTGGAGAAGTATGTATTTTTAGGCCAATTTCCTGAGGAAACGAAGCTTACATGATCATGTTATTGGTCTGCGTACGTTGGTCCTTCCTGGAGATTTGAGTCTGTTACCTAATTTCAGACAAGCTTGAAGTTTGAGGGGTGACATTCTGAAGATTTTGTGAAAATCCATTGCTAATTAGAGAATAAGACCCAAACTTGGGGTCTTGTTGAGGAGAAAAGAGGCAGGAGCATGGCTGGTGTGTGCTGTCAGTCATCAGCAAGTCAGCACCATTTAGGTTTGCTATCTCGCGGGAGTAGAAGGTACTGTTGTGACAGAGACTGAGTTTAAAGGAAGAAAGATACATTTCCATAGCAAGGTGAAGTTTCCTTAATTCCACTATGCACAGCAAGATGTCTTGAAGTTTTCCAAAGGGAACAAAATTGCAAAAAGGGATTACTTTGTTGTCTATGCATTTGGAAACCTTCCTTTAAGCTGTAGATAGAGGAGTTGGTAGTGGCCATGCTGGTTCTTTTTATTGTGTTGTGTTGTTACATGAGGGATTTGAAATTAAGGTACATGAGTTTACATGCAGAAAAAAACCCATAGATTTCCTACAGCTGTATTTTAATTATCTGTAGAGGGTGAATTTTATTATACTGAACAAAAATGTCCCATTGACCTTTGTAAAGGTAAGGATAAGCTCTGTTGCAAAGACAAAATTGAGAGTTCAGAAATGCTGCCTCGAAATTCTCTGATTCTCTGCAATGTAAGGCTGTATTAGAAGGTGAGAAGTCACAGGCGAAATTTTGACTTCATTTGGTATTAAATGTGTTAAACCCTGTGTAATGTCATTACTAATCTGTGATATTTTAAAAAAATAACACTCTCCCCATTGTGTCTCATACATGCACTCGCACAAAACTTCCTTTTTTTTTTTTTATTTTTTATTTAGCAGGCAGTCGAAGTTTGAGAAGCTGCACATATGAGAATTTTAGAAGTTGTCTTGGCTTTTAAATCGACCAATTTCTGTTTTACAGTGCCTGAAAATGACAACGAAGCGGAATTTGTTTTTGCGGCTGGTGCCATGCCGCTGTCTGCGTGGAGAGGAGGAAACTGTGACTACCCTTGATTATTCTCACTGCAGCCTGGAACAGGTGCCTAAGGAGATTTTTACTTTTGAAAAGACCTTGGAAGAACTGTATTTAGATGCTAATCAGATTGAAGAGCTTCCAAAGGTATGTTGGGTGGTTTTCCTTTTAGGTACACTTACTTTTTACTTCACCAGCATTGTAGAAGCTGATAGCAAGTGTCTAGCTTCCCACTTCAGCTTTTAGGCTGTAGACTGCTGTGAAGCAGCCCTGGAAGACTGAAAGTTTATGCATTCCATCCTGATTGCTTTGCTGTTTGAGTTGGAATGAAACTGCTTAAACAACTAAACTAGCTCAAGAGAGGTACATAGCAGAAGACACTGGCTAATAAATTTATTTCTGTGGTAGTGTCAGCTTGTGCTTTGAGAAATGGGCAGTTTACTGCTTACCTTGGTCTACTCCAAGGTTTAATTATCCCCATGATTAGGAAGACTGCTTGAACATTTATGTTTTGCTCCTTTTTGTTCTCTTAACTGCAGGGACATGTAGTAGCCTATACTTGCTTCAAGTTAATGTGTTTGTACATTAGAAGAAGTCATACTTACAGGCTTATTTCTGAGAAACTAAACTTTTTTTTTTTTTTTTTTTTCAGTTTTTGAGTAATTTTGGTCATTGTGTTTTGCTACCCTTTCAATTTTCAGAAGAAAACACTCCCACATATTAATTCAAATACTGTAAAGAATACAAGCAGAGAGATTAAGGGATCATGACGACATAGTAGAAATGTTTTATTTATTAATTTGGCAGAAATTGGGATACTAAAACTATCCATAGGGGAACTGTAAGGGAAAGCATGTAATATTTGAAATGATCGTAGCCAATTTAGAGCCAGAGTTTCAAGCTGTTATTTGTTTTCCCTTTTACTTAGTCTTTTAACTTTGAAAAAGGTTTTTAATTAAGCCCTTTCAAATATGAAGGGTGCAGTGCTTATCAGACCCTCTCTTTCTGAAACCCTAGCTTTCAGAAGCCTGGTTAAGACATTCCCACTCACGTTTTCTCTTTTCCCCTGTTGGTGCTTTGTCATCTGCTGACCTTTGGACACCACAACACAGCTGGCTTGGGGCTGCTTGTCAGCCTGATCACTGAAATGACCTATCAGTGTACGTGGCTTTTGGATTTTTTTAATTGCCCTGAATCTTTTCAGGATTCCAACTTACTTCAAATCTCAGTTCTTATAGTATAGCTCCTTCATTTAGCTGACTGCCTGAGGGCACAGCATAAGCAAACTGCAGTGGAGAGAAAGATCGTGGCGGAGGAGGAGTTGACTTTACACGAAAGGCTGGTGCACAGTCTCAGTTCCAAAACTGACTGGGCATTTGAAATGTCTGAAAAGGTACCCTGTTCATGCCAAGTGCTGTAGTGTGCATTTGAGCTAAAAAGGTGACACTGTAACAGTTTTACTTTTCTCTCACTTTGCTGTTTGGAAGAAATTGAAATTCTGCAGTAACATAGTCTTTAATTATCTGACTTCCATGGTTTACTAGCAGTCATTATGAATATGTAAACACTAAAAAAGAACAACAACAAAAGTAACAACTACGAAGTCAACACCATTCAAAGCTCCCCTCCCTCTTATTTTCCTTTGGGGATCTTGCAATTCCTTGTGCTGCATGTGCTTTGACCTGATTAATCAGGGAAATTTCTAATGATTCCAAGAGTCTGGATTATTGTTTTCAGGGAAGGGCTTTAATATATTCCTGAAATAAAGGAGTGGCTCTGAAACATAAGCTCATCAAAGTTGTCCTTCCCATATATATCCTAAGTAACTTAATATCATTAAGGATATTAATTTGTTCTAACAGAGACACATTTATGAGGAATTGTAAACAGCAGTAGACAAGTTAAAGCTCATTCCTTTAACTGTCCATCTTGCTAATTTATGTTTGCTTTTGTTCTGAGGTGGTATATATGCCAATGTTACATGAATGGGGCTTGTTCAATAGTTTCTTGTTGAAATAATGACCTCGTAGCTGAGAGAGAGATAAAAAACTTTGGTCAAACTAAGCCCATTGCTGTGGTGGTGATTGGGATAAATTTTTAGTCACTGAACACTTCCTGGTTTTTTATGATCTTTTCTCAGAATTGCAGAAGAGAAGAATACTAAGTCAGGGTATTTATGAATAATCTTATTCAAAAATTGTCAGGAAAGGAATATTCATAAATTGTTTAGATGAATCTTTTCAATAGCTTCTTTAGAATTACTTGTTTTGTACTATCTGTAAGTTTCCTACATGTTATTTGAGGGTTTTTCTTCCATTACATTAATCTTAGTTGCCCTATTTTGTCAGTTTTTAAAGCTTTTGGGTAAGAATCTCTAGGTACCTTGCATATAAGAAGAGATCTGGCTCTGAGCAAGTATTTGATAAAGGTGGTAATGCATGTATATAGAAGAGATTAAACAGTTTTCTATATCCATATCTCAAACTTTCACTAGTTTTCATGATAATTTTGTAGGAATTTTTTGTATGTGAAGTAGGAAGCATGAAGGGAGAAAATATTGTAAGATATAATGAAATTTGAACTTTTAGAGGAGATCAATACTTACTGAAATTCTGTGTTTCAGAACTATTTGACTTTAAAAGATGTGTCTATCAATTTTTTAAATTTTTTCTTTCAATAAACTCTGTTTACCTCTGGAGTCTTACATGGTGTGTCTATTATGGAAAATATTTTGCAATGTTTGCAGGTCTGTGTGTAACTACAGGTCACAATTTCTGAGATACTGGAAGGAGTTTTTAGGAAGAGTTAAGCGTAGCTGCTGGCTTGTGACCATTTGCAGTTTTTTGCTTTCCTAAGCCTTGTAAACTTAGTCAATTTTCAATGCAACTAGTTAAATAAAGTTTTTGTAGTAAAAAACCCTAAATAATCTGGCCTTCAGGCTGTAAGGTCAGAAGTTTAAAGGGATTACAAAAAAAAAGCTATGTAGAGGAAACTGAGAGAAAATCACATGCACTTTTTTCTTTGTTTCAATAGCAACTTTTTAACTGTCAGTCTCTACACAAGCTGAGTTTGCCAGACAATGATCTAACCACACTGCCAGCATCCATTGCAAATCTCATTAATCTCAGGGAACTGGATGTCAGCAAGAATGGTAAGTCACTTTGCTTATTATATTGGGGTAACTAAAAGGCAAATCGCCATTAACTGTACAAAGACACCAGTGAAAGTATAATTTCTCTAAGCTACACAGATAGTAATTTTTAAATTACTGCTCTAAATCCCTGCTTACAATAAATGATGCTTTTTATGGTCTGGTTGTGATACTTAATTGTATCTCTCAAACTGGTTGGTTTGTACTTTGAGATTCATTACTGAAAAATAATACTGTCAAGTAGTTTTTCTCTCAAAGTGCATTGGTTTTAGTAACTTTTGCCATCTGTTGCTATACTGAAGAGCAGTTGCACAAGAGTTTGTAAAATTTTGCTGAATTCTATTGTATTTTTTTCATATAGAAAATGTTTTTTTTTTTCTTTTTAAAAGCTGTCAAAAAATTGTAGTAGGGCTTGGCTGCTTTGCTGTCGTGTTTTGGGGATGGTAACTGTTGTTGTGCGAGGAAAAGTATTTGTGTCCACAGGCATGAGTTGGTTCACTTATCTGTCTGTTAAAAATCTGTCATTCTGTGTGAGTCAGCCTTTTATAAATTAAATGTCATCAGCCAACATTATACATGGGGTTTTACGGATTGTGCTGCTTTGGCTAGCTGGCAGATGTATGCAACTGTGAGGAAATTGAAGTAATTTATATTGTCATCAGACTTAGGTGTGAGACTTATTTGAGAGAAAACTTGTCATGCTAGCTGAAGAGGATGAGATAGTTTTCTCTTACTAATTCAAAGTGAAAGAAGAGGACCTCTCATTGAAATAACATTTGAAAATAATTACATAAATACTCCAAAGGTTTTGTCATATTCAGTTCATTGTTTTATTTGGGCTGCTAGCTAATAATGACTCCACAAAGTGAAGTAAATTCTGCTTTTTAAAGAAAACATTCCAGTTGTTGAAGAGTTGACATTCTCCTTGATTGTCTGTTGTAGCCCAATCTGTACTTAAACTGTTACTTTATTATTTCTGCCTAATGAACACAGCATTTAGTGTGATAAATTGACCTGGTTGTCACTGCTCTGTTCCTGATACAAGTGGATTAATAGATAGTCTGTCTTAAAGAACACTGGCCTTAAACTGTCATAGTAACATGCAATAGAGAAAGAATCATCTTTTTGTCCTAGACTAAAGCGTTGAAAGTATTAACTTTTGGCAACACAAGTTCTCAGTGCAGAAGACCTAAAAGCAGCAAAGGCAGATTTGAGTGCTAGTGCTGGCAAATTCCATAGCTCATGTACTTAAATAGGCAGCTGGAGCTGGGGAGCTACTTATCTGTCCAAAATGGAATGGCCTTTAGCTAAGCCTTCAGAGAGATGCTGAAAGAGCGCTTGTACTCTGAGGCGTATGACACAGTATCGCAGTAAACTGTGAAGCTCTGTTAACTAGAGGTTGGGGATTTTTTTTAACACCCTTTGGAGACATGACAGGGTACAAGCTTATTTAAACTATTATCATGTGCCTGTTCTAAGTCTTATCGCACTTTGGATAGCTCCTCTGACCAGTCTTGCACATAGAAAATAGTCCTGAGGTCACAGGCTTGTTTACTGGGGACATGTTGTCTCCCAGTAGTCCTGAAACCTCTGTAAAACTCAAACCAACCAAATCAGGGTCCCTGTTTGTTCCTATTGGGTGAACTAAGGAATAGTGCTGTTTATTGTAATAAATTTGGTATTATTTGAGACTTCAGTTTGTTGGCTCCAATGCCTTTCCCTTTCTCTGTTTCTCTCCACTGTTGCAACCACAGAATATTTTTCTCTTGACAACTGCAAGCTTATTCTCCTCCCTCGTGTCACTTTTTCTCTTTGTAAGAATTTACTACTCAAGTTCCCACTGTCCATGATTGTTCTGATGTATGTCTGTAGTAGAGCCTAATAGAAGGGGTTTTACTAGTTTTCTGAGAGTAGCAAAATTTATCAAAGTCTCCAGTTCTTCCTTTTTCCTTACTGCATATCAAAAGAATATAGAATGTAGCCTTTGTGGGAAGCACAGGGATTGCTTTCCTCTAATTTATAAAAAAACCCAATTAATGGAGATTAGTCTTCAATAATGCAGGGTGATGAGAGATGCTGAATTAAAAAATAATTCAGTATGTTTTCCAGATTCCTGCAGTTGTGGCAAGTGAAAGGTTCCTCTATTGTTCTTGCAGTATTGATATACCATTAAGTATTTTCTTCTAATATGGATGGAGCTAAATTTAAGTGCAGATGCCTTTAGATAAAATATGCATTTAGTTTTAAAGGTTATAGTTTTAGAAGGGTAGTTATTTAGGCTTTGGTTTTCAAATACTAGCATACATGAACTATAATAGGATTTTCATGTAATATATTTGAACCACTTGTGGCATAGGCCTAATCAAATGTGTTGAGCAAAGTGTTTATTTTTTTAAGGAGCTGATTGAAAAATGAAAAACTAAGCTTCAGTTTTAAAATGGTTTCAGATTACTTCATGAACTGCAGTCTGGCTCGGAGTGATACCTGTTGCACGGGAGAGTATCCAGTTCTCTAGGTAGAACTACATGCATATATATGTGTGTGTGCATAATATTTGATGTTTAGATGAAAGATCAAAATTGCAGAGATTTTTCAAGGTACCACATTTGTTACATAAAAGGTATTAGTCCATGAAAGGAATCCTTATGTACTCTATTAGCTCATGAAAAATCTTGCCCTTTTAATTTCTGATTTAAATGTACCTGGTTTTGTACACATAATATATAAAATTTTGTAACAGAGACATAGCAGATGTGCACATGTGGATACTTAAGAATATCTAATAATATTTAATCAGACCAAAGATTCATCTAGTCTAGTGTCCTGTCTCCAACAGTGACCAAATCCAGAAGCCTATGGAAAATTTAGTAAAACACAGGAAGCCAGAAGACATGCATGTTTCCCTGTATGCTCCCAGTGTCCAGCACCTTCTCTTATTTGGCCTCTTTGAGCCAGACAGATGGGGTTTTTATTTAGTAGTCTTCATTTGACTACTCTACCAGTTTAGTGATGTATGTTTCGAGACATGCCGAATTATGGAATACAAGTCTCTAATGGTTGTGTGTTTGGAGCACACAGAAATCTTTGTACAACAGTGTGGTTTGGAATGTATTTTTCATGGCTTCTGAAGCGGTCATGGCACAAGTGTAGCCTAAAAATACCAAATTGCTGCTATATGTGCAGCAAGCATAGACTAGAGTTAGTTCTAACTCTGCCTTTGTAGTTTATTGGTATTAGTCAATAAAAGCTGTAGGTTTTGGTAGTGAGTGTTTCTGCTATCCTTTTATGGCATTTTAACCTAATTCCCAAGGCTATTTTGAACTCTTAATATCAAAGGTATGCCACTGCTTCTTTCCAGGTATACTTCAGCTTTGAAATTTTTAGCTGAAACTTAATGCTGTTGTAGTCATGAAGATGAAATGGTACTTGAACAAATGGTACAATAAGTAGTAACATATGTTCCTATACCAGAAATTACATCCAGCCTTGTAGAAAGCATCGAGAGATGCCCTTTTCTGCCAGTAATGGAACCTGATGTCTTACATCCTAAAGAGAAGTTGCAGCATACAGAATATAAGACCAGCTTAAAAAAAAATTGAGTGTTTTATTTATGAAGCTAAAGTAAAATCAAAATATTTCTAATTCTGTATAGCCAACTTATTTATATATTGACATCTGTACAGGAAAAAAACCCACCACCCATGAAAAAAACCCTGCAATCCACTCTTTATCCATAAATCAGTCTCTTTCAGGGGACATTCCTTCCCTTGTGACTCTGGAATGCCAGCCTTAGCATGCATCTAGGGCAATATGGAAGACTGTTGAGGAAATAGTTTTGACTATCTCTGCAGAAGGGGAAAGCATTTATATGCAGTGTATGATGGTGTATGTAAAAGTACGGAAGAGTTAACTTCTGAGAATCGAGTGATTTGAGGGACTGAAATCTAGGATGAGGTGACTGCCAGGAAAAGCAGGCTTTCCTGGAAGCCTGGGAAATGCACTTGAAATTGCTTGTGACCGTGGAGTTAGTCTAGTGGGAAACAGTGAGATGATCTACTTTTCCCTACATGCTGGTGGTGAAAGAAAAAAAAATGAATTTTAAAATTCCACATTATTCAGGTCTTTGGAGGATTAAACAGCACAATCAGAAAATAATTAGCAAGACCAAAAGCAACATGGGGCTTTGGAAATAGTGGTACCTTCAAAAGTCTCTTGGATACTAAGGTGTGTTTTCTTTCACGTTGATGTTACAGCAAATTTAAACATGTCACTTTGTCACTCTGTATTGCAAGGACTCTTCATGGAAAAATACACAAACTAAACCCAAGAAAACGTTCCCCTCACCCCCCTGCCTTCAGGCAGTAATTTTAAAGAATTTTGTTAACAGATGCAAATGTAGATCAAATATGTTTTCTTCACTGTTCTAAAATAATCTGTTGATTTGGCAAACTATCTTTAGCACACTGAGTGCCAGCAGTTGGGAAGCTGGAGAATGAGAATTCAGGAAACTATCTAGTGTTATGTTGGTACACTTAGGAATATGTTTTTTTAACAAATTGAGAATTATTCATAGTTGATAGAGGGATAGAGACCCAAATTTTACTTTCTGTAAGCAAATAAGAGGGGAAGATCCTGAATACAGAAATAACTTGCTATAAATTTGCTGTTTCTCTGCTTATATTGATGGAAGGTGAGAGGGACAGACAGAAGCAAGGGTTTTATATCATCCATGAAAGTGAAATAAAAGGTAATTGATTTCCTGCATACTTCTGAGCCTGTAGCTCTACTATAATGTGTCATTATATAGAGGTTATAAATTTTATCCCAAATGTAGGCAGCCATTCTATTTGAAGTTTTTTATTCAAGTGTTTTTAGTATTTTTTCTTAAACATATTGTCTTACTGAAGTGCTGAAAAGGGTCTGTCTGTTCAGGGTTGGATGCTAACTGACTTTCAGCTTTCCAACACTTAAGGCAGGGCTATCACCCTGCCTGTGTGAGA